ATTGAGCTGAGCCATTTTCTTACGGGGAGCTTTTGAGAACTTCAATTCATATTATGACTTCAAGACAAAGTTCAGCAAGAAGACTATCAAAAGTAGCACAATTTTTTCAATTAGCATTACGATTCCATGTTTATGAACCCCTCGTACACTGAAAGCGCATTTCATAACCTAGAACCACAATCATGTGAATATAGTAATGTCCAACAAAATCCCGGCACTTTACTGAATTCATTTCTTCAGAACTTTAAATCACTGTTTATGTGCGCAACTTTCTAACTTATGATCAACATGATCATGCAACTTCTCAATGCCTTCGAGACTTTTAGTATGTAATGTACATGAGAATACAAGGAAGCTTGGGACGAATCAAAGCCCAATCAGAACACAATTCCTCTGTGATTTCAAATAGAAAGCAGTAAGACCAATATAAAATATGTGAAAAAAAAATTAAAAAAAAAACATACAGAATTTCAGTTCTCCATAGGAATTAAAACTTCTTATAGTGAAAATATTGTTTTTTTGAAGAAAAAAAATGTTGGCACAGATTAAAGGAAGAAAGAAGGAAAAAGAAGAAGAAGAAGAAGAAGAAGAAGAAGAAGAAGAATGCTACCTTCCCAGGAATATCAGGAATGACAGCTCTACTGCCAGTCGCAATCAGAATGTGCTTTGCTGAATAGCCTATTTTGGTACCATCAAGTTGTGTCACCTCAACTTCATGTGGACCAACAATCTTTCCCTCTCCTTCATACATTTTTACTCCCGAATTAGTCAGTAAACGCTTGTAAATTCCATTTAACCGTACTATCTCATCTGTCTACAATTCAAAAGATAACAAAAGTATATGCCTCAATATTAGACAAGAAAATCTGATATCAAATTAAAAAAATTAAGGACATAATGACAAATCCTCGCTAATTCCTGGAAGTATTACTATGGATAACAAGAATGGTGCCAGAAGAAATGATAAATTGGTCATATCTGAGAAGTGTATCTAAAACAACTAAATTTGACTTCCCAACATAGAATTTGACAATTTGGATTAAATGCTACATTCTCAAAACATCTTAAGAAATACGATGATCAAATGCATAACTCCAACTCCTAGTTTTGCACGTTAGGATTAACCACTTTCTTCTATTTACCAACCGATAGGTTTCAAAAAGGAAAATTCAGAAAAGAGACATACTGAATTGGGTAAAAAACTACAGACAGGTAGGTGACAGAAGAAACAAGTCAGGAGCTATAATTACTTTCCTTGAACTAGGGAGGACTACTACCCCTCTTCGCATTAGACTGCACTATTGGTGAATTTTCGCTAAAATCATGGAAAGAACTTAGAGTTGAATTGCAAACATATATTTAGTCTCACTGTATTAGAGCAAATTTACAGTATTCCTTGCGCTAACAGTGTGTCACACAATTACCAGCAGAGTTATTTCAACCTTCGGAGAATCTCTTACACCTAGCTACAGCCCAACTTTTTATATAATTATACCCAAGAAATCTAATCAAAATGAATTATGTACTTCACAGAAAAATCAAGCACTATAAAGTAACATTAAAGTGTCAGAAACACACCTTCTTTTGCAAAAGCTTCTTCCAATCAAAATCCACTTTCTCATGCACATCCCAACCATAACTTCGAGCATCCTACACAAACAACACAGGATAAATACAGAACTTTTTTCACAATATTCATGTCCACAGAACAAAATTACTAATAACTTCAAAATGACTCTTTAAATGCACCCTACAATCATATCTCACTCTAAGAAATACTAAAGCTAGCATGCATGCTGGAGGCTGAGGATTCTAACCGTCAAATTCAAGTTAAAACCACCAGTGCTTCACGGTTGGGGGAAAGGTATTTCAAAGTGAAAATATACCAATATTGCTGCTTAACGAAAACTAATGAACTCTGTTGCATTCTCGTAAAAATAAAAGTTACAGACGTTACATTCTGCTAACCTGAAGCTCAGGACCAAAAGTTGCCCCATACATCAGAATCTTTTTGGGAACACAACCACGAATAACACACCTGAATTCCAGAATAAGAGATAAAAATATGATAAAGAATGTTCAGTGACCTCTACATTAAATTTGTAAAAACAATTAAAAATAATAATTGAGAGCTTTGAAGGACAACTTACGTTCCGCCAATTCCTCCAATTACTTCTGAGCTGATTGGATCGAATGGAAGCTCACAGATGCCAACCTTCAAACATATTTTCAAATGAATTAAGCTAAATGTTAAGCAACCGATTTTTTGAAAAGAAATACCAAATGAGAATAACAATTGACGGAAAAAAGCATAGTCTTAACGACATCAATGCTAAAATCTGTACAGATAACTATAAATAAATCATCGATATACATATGAAAAATAAAATAATTCAACCATTAAAATATATTTAAGCCGATATATGAAACCTTCGCTCCATGACTAGCTGAAAATCTACTAGCACGAACACCACCACTTCCTGCTCCAATAACGAATAAATCAAAGTCATAGCGTTCCTCCGCTTCAGCCGGATGGCTCAGTTCCCCATCTATGAGCATCTTCCTCGACATAGCTGATGAATATTCGAGCTAAAACTGCGGTAAACAGAAATTCACCAAATAGACAAACAACAAACAATCAAACGATAGAGCTGAATGCATTTATACGCAAGGAACTCGCAAACGATATGCCTTCAAATGAAGAACTAACGATTTGTTATTAGAGAAACAAAAGTCAAATTAAAATTCCTAATCCGCGGTCGCCACTAATCAGAAGTACATAAGAAAAATCAACAGTCAACCTGACGAGTACATATAAAAATAGAAGAACCAAAGAAATTCAAGAACCTTAGCTCATCCAAACGCTAGTAACACACAATAACAGTCATTCAACGCATCAAACATTCAAACTCCATGCCTCAACAACCAAGATCTCTGACACTAACCATAAAACCTTCGGTATCAAAAGAAAATCAAACAAAACACAAAGATCACCTAGCATTCACTTCTAAAGTTAAAACAAATAAGCAGGCAGCCAAAAGCTCCAGGGACATATGTTTCTATCATTTTCCACTTCCACTTCCATCATTTTCTTAGCAAAGAAACAGAAAATAGGAACAGAATCTACCTCGGTGAAGTTGATGGCTGCAAGAGGAGAAACTCTAGGGCTTCAGCAGAGAAAGAATGGAGAAAACGACGGCTCGAAAGCCGAGCGATGATTGGCTGTATTTATATGTACCGAGCTGTGACTCAGTGAGAACGACGGAGACCGCGAAGAGGAAGAATCTGCCAAATGCCGTGCGGCTACCCGGCATCTTCGTTTCAGTTACTTATCTCCATCGGATGATGACGTGTCGCCATTTTAACCGTCGCTTACTGGCTCCGTAATCCAGTAATTTTGTCCCGATCACTTTTTCCAACTTTTTTCCCCCTTAAATCTATTTTTCTATTTAATTTCATGTTTTAAAAATACAAATACTCTCTAAATATTTAGCTTTTTATCTATTTAATTTAAAAATTATTAAAAATGTCTAATAAAATTTTTAATTTTAATTTTTTTTGCTTGATAATATTCGGAATTTTTAATTTTATTTTATGCTTAATATATCTATACAAAATAATTAAATATCTATAATTCTATAAATTTAATATTTATAATCTATAGGTTGGTTTTAAAAAATCCGTGACCAAAATCTAAAAGTTACGCGAGTTAATTAAATTTTCACCCAAATCTAAATATTTATGTTTTTATACACGAAATTAAAATATTTAGAACGGGTTGGTGTTAATTAAGTAGTGACATTTTTTTTTACGCAAACTCATAATTCAATAATTAAAATTAGGCTTTAATTTTAAGAGCAAAATACTAGTATATATTGTTAAAAATGTTAGATGAACATGAATCTCCTTACACTAATAGAAATAGTATTCATTGATTATAAACTCGTGATCATTCCCTAAATTAGCCGATGTGAGACTTTCATCATCTAACAAGTAAAATCGAGCTTCGATTGCTTGTTGATAAGAAATCGAATCTTAATTTCAAGAATAAAACACAATTATATTTAATTAAAAAGCATATACTTTTTTTTATTAAAGATCGAGTTTCAATTACTTACCTTGTTGAATAAGGTATGAAATTAATGAAATGGTCCCATTACACTCATTTTTTGCTCTATTTGGCTATTGAAAGATTCCATCATTCAATGTGTTTGTTTTCCTTCTTAATTTGGAATCTATCTTTACTACTCTCCTTCTTATGTTCAAACTCTTTGTTACCCCTTTCAACTACTTCATTATTTTGTCCCATTTTTAATAATTTTTTATTTATTAATAAATTGAGTGAGGATTGAATCAATGGCCCATCAATATGTGGGCTTTGTAGAAGCCCACTGGACTCTATTGAAGGAGAACGCAAAATGGGAAAGGAAAAAAAGGTGATTGGGGTGAGAGAGGCTCGAACTCTCGACCTCAGGATAACTCTTAAGCTATGAGACCTACGCGCTAGCCAACTGCGCCACCACCCCTTGATGGGACAAGCAACTTTATTTTTATTTAAATATTAAAATATGACGTGTCGGAAGGACGACTAAAAATATATTTTAAAAAAAAGTGTTTAGTTATTTGGTATTTTTTTTATTATTTAAACTCTATCGTCTAATTTTTTTTTTTAATTTAATCTTATATAATTAAATTTAAAATATGAGTTAGAAACTTTTTTTTTTCCTTTTAAATTTAATTATCATGTCATTGGACTAAACTTAACTTTTCAATTTGTTTCTAATACATGAAAATATATATGTTTTTAAATCTTATTCGTTTAAAATGTGACAATCGAGAGATTCAAATATCAAATCTCTAAGTTCAACGTGTATGTCTTAATCAATTAAAATGTAAATACAAAAAATCAATTATATCAATTATACAAAACTATCCATTAACAATTTCTCTAATGCAGATTTATAGAGATACTAAATACGATCAATATTCCATCCAGAGAATCGAGAAGAAAAATGATAAATTCCAACACAAATCAACAAAACAGTTCTAGAAGACAATGATTAGAAGCAAAATGACAAAAAATAGTGTAGAAAAAAGAGAATATTTACAGTGTGAAGAGGATGTGAAGCGCCAAGCCAAGAAACTCAATGCCATTCTATTCCTCCAAGCGTAGTAGACCCAACTCCTTCCCATACTTCACCAAGCCCAACCTCTTCGCTATCAACACCCTCCATGTCGCAGTCCCACCACCCACCGCCACTTGCGTCTGCTCAGTTGCCAAAATCAAGAAGTTACCATGAATCACAAGGTTAATAAAACAGTTTAAACGGAAGAAGTTACCATATATAACTGTAAATATGAAGTTTATTTGGTCTTTTAAATTTTAAAATTTATATCTATTTGATTGTAAATCTTGGAATGGTATTTAATGGGATAATAAGTTTTTGAATTTTTTATTTTAACCTTTCTCAAAATACAGAAATAAATTAAACATAAAATTTAATCATATAAATCAAATCATTTTTAAAAAATTTGAATATATCACTGACCTAAACCTAAAATTAAAAACTTAAGAAAAATCAAATCATTTTTAAAAAATTTGAATATATCACTGACCTAAACCTAAAATTAAAAACTTAAGAATCTATTACACCCTTGAAGATTAAAGTTACAAACTAATGGACATAGACACAAAAGTTTGGAACTAATCTCAAAAACAATATTGAAGATTAAAGTTACAAACTAATGGACATAGACACAAAAGTTTGGAACTAATCTCAAAAACAATATGCAGTTTAAAATCCGAGCAAAAAGGGAAGGAGGCGATTCATATGAGAAACAAAAGCGTATTTAGAAGATGGCAAATACTTACAGTGATTGTAGAGAGGTTTTGGTTTTTTGTTTCTGATATCATGAACCGCCTCCCTCCTCTTACTTACAGTGATTGTAGAGAGGTTTTGGTTTTTTGTTTCTGATATCATGAACCGCCTCCCTCCTCTTTTTCTCGGGTTTTGGGTCGCCTCCAAGAACTACCACATTCTTCTTCCTCGCTTGGCTCTCACCTGATGGTAAAAGTTAACAAAGTTCAAGTATCAACAGCTATTCAAACACAAAATCTTCATAGTTTACGAGAGTTGAGCAAGACATTGTTACGGAATAAGCCAATTACATGGGGTAGTGGAAGCAAAGCCTTCACTTAATATCTTTCTTTTCCTCGAACGGAATAAGCCAATTACATGGGGTAGTGGAAGCAAAGCCTTCACTTAATATCTTTCTTTTCCTCGAATCTAGCATATCATCTGTACTGAAGATATCTGCTCCACTAGCATCGCTTAAAACTGAACTTTGACTTTGGTTTGGTTCAGAACGCTTGAACTCTTCAAAAAGCACCTTTGAAATAGCTGATTCTGTCTGGGAATCCGTCTCATAATGAATTCCAGAACTCTTCAAAAAGCACCTTTGAAATAGCTGATTCTGTCTGGGAATCCGTCTCATAATGAATTCCAGTCGGTTTATTCATGGAGCTATTTGCATCCCTTGGACCCTGCAGTGAGGAGAAGGGCGTGGACTTCCCCTAGTGTATAAAGAACGGAATCAATGGCTTTCCTAACACTCTAAATTTGATTTTCCGTGGACTTCCCCTAGTGTATAAAGAACGGAATCAATGGCTTTCCTAACACTCTAAATTTGATTTTCCGCTTTTTCCCCTTTGTATTTCGCATTATACACATGAAATTAAAGATTCATCAATAAATAGTGTTTTAAAGCCGTATAAAAATAAAGAAGAAGAAACCAAATCGTCACCGAAGTTCAAATCACCATTGAGTTTTAAAGCCGTATAAAAATAAAGAAGAAGAAACCAAATCGTCACCGAAGTTCAAATCACCATTGAATTTCATCGGTCGTCTTCTCATTTTGATTTTCTACGTCCGATCGAAAAATCAGACCTAAATAAACGCAATCTAAAACTCCAATTGACAGGTAGACAGAGAAAAAAAACTGAGGCAAAACTCGTTACCTTCACCGTCCTCTGCAGTACGAAAGATTCCGGCAGTTTTCGATCGAGGAATTCCGAGAGCGACAGATGCCACCGTCCTCTGCAGTACGAAAGATTCCGGCAGTTTTCGATCGAGGAATTCCGAGAGCGACAGATGCGAGCTCTTCTTCGTAGATTTGCTTTCGGAAACTTCATTCGAACTCTTGAAACTGTTTCGAACCAGAAATTAAAAACGTACAACAAATTAATAAACACATAACGTCGAGAGAGAAAAATAGGAATCATGACCGATAGATTACGGATTTGAAGAACAGGAGCGGAAAGACGATGAAATTGAACGCTGGCCGAAAACCCTAATCGGAGGACGCTCGTTGTTCATTTGCTCGAACTTGAAATATCGGAAAATTTTAGGAGGAAACCCTAATCGGAGGACGCTCGTTGTTCATTTGCTCGAACTTGAAATATCGGAAAATTTTAGGAGGATGAATTTTAAAATTCCCTCCCTCTTTCATATTTGTAGTCTTTTCGCGCCACGAATTTTAAAATGTAAAATTTTGAAAGCACCGTTTTCGAAGACATTGTAATTCGTTTAAATTATATATAACTATTTACTGTAAAATTTTGAAAGCACCGTTTTCGAAGACATTGTAATTCGTTTAAATTATATATAACTATTTACTGTTTTTTTTTTTAATAACTATTTTTTATTATATTTCTTTTAATAATTTTCATATTTTTTTTAATGCATTTGAATTCTTAATCAAATTTTTAAAAAATAAAAGAAATTTTTTAATTTTAAAAATAAAAACTTGAAGTATTATTTATACGTTTTAATTCTTACAAATAAAAAAAAAAACAAATCTTTATCAATTTTTTTAAGAAAACATTTGAATTTATAATACATTTCTAAATTTTAAAAAATGTTATTTTATTTTTTAAAAATTGGGTTAGATTTTGAAAACATCGTAAAAAAATCCGACAACAAAATAAGTANTATTATATTTCTTTTAATAATTTTCATATTTTTTTTAATGCATTTGAATTCTTAATCAAAATTTTAAAAAATAAAAGAAATTTTTTAATTTTAAAAATAAAAACTTGAAGTATTATTTATACGTTTTAATTCTTACAAATTAAAAAAAAAAAAAACAAATCTTGATCAATTTTTTTAAGAAAACATTTGAATTTATAATACATTTCTAAATTTTAAAAAATGTTATTTTATTTTTTAAAAATTGGGTTAGATTTTGAAAACATCGTAAAAAAATCCGACAACAAAATAAGTATTTTATTTTTTAAAAATTGGGTTAGATTTTGAAAACATCGTAAAAAAATCCGACAACAAAATAAGTAAGCTCATGTATGAATATAATATTTATAAGCTTAATTTTAAAAAATAAAATAAAAATAAGACTAAATCGTTTGAAGCCATATATATATATATATATATTTATTTATTATTTATTGATAATTTTGTATCAAATAAAATTTCAAAATTTCGTGTTCATAAGTCTAATTTGTTTGACATTTTTTAATTCATAAAATATTAGATAAAATTTTGAATTTTGCCTAAAAAAACACAAAATTGGAATTTATTAATCCATTAATCATTTTTTTAACTACAGAGATTGATTAGATATTTAATCTAACATTTTTTTTTAAATAAAAACTTGTAGTTTTATTGGACCTTTTTCCTCCTTTTATATATTTAAAATTTTAATTTATAAATACTTTATTTTCGCCCATTATTTTTTGATTTATTATTTTTTTTTTTTTACATCCTAAAAATTAAAAAAGGTTTTTTTTTCAATTTAATTTAGAATTTAAATGTATTTTTAAGAAATGTTGAATATTTACTAAAAAAGAAAACAATTATAATTTTAAAATACATAAACAAAAAAAAACAAAATAATTATAAAAAGGGCTTTTAAATTAATAATAATATGTATTTATACCTTTAAAAGGATGCAAAGCACACTTTATATTAAAAAAAATTAGTGCAAATAATGTTGATAAAATAATTTTAATATATAATAATTTAATATCTCTAATTGTAAACCATAAAAATTATGTAACGATTTATTTATATACTTTAAAATTGGTAGATGGATGAAAAGTGTTGGAAATAAATATAAAATAGTGAATTAAATTAATTTTCTTGTGAAAAGAATTAGAATATTAAAAAGTGATAAAAATAAATAAATAAAAATTGTAAAATCTTAATGGGGAGAGAGACAGAGAGAGAGAGAGAGAGAGAGAGAGAGGCGAGGCTTGAAAAAAGGGAACAAAGAAGAAGCTAAAATTAGGGGGGAAATTCTTCACCGTTCAAGTGAGTCTCAAACGGATTCAGACTCTCCCTCCTAAGTCACTTCAATCACAAAATTCAACGTCCTCGATTGCTTCTTCCACATTTACGGATCGCCGATTTTCATGGTCTAAGTACTTTTGGAATCTGTTGCATTGAAATTTGACGCGATGAAGCGTTTGTGATTGAATTATAACCAGAAAAACAGGAACAGATAGAATCGATATATATAAATGGCGACTTTAAGCCCGAGGAAGACGCTTACGAANGAGAGAGACAGAGAGAGAGAGAGAGAGAGGCGAGGCTTGAAAAAAGGGAACAAAGAAGAAGCTAAAAATAGGGGGGAAATTCTTCACCGTTCAAGTGAGTCTCAAACGGATTCAGCCTCTCCCTCCTAAGTCACTTCAATCACAAAATTCAACGTCCTCGATTGCTTCTTCCACATTTACGGATCGCCGATTTTCATGGTCTAAGTACTTTTGGAATCTGTTGCATTGAAATTTGACGCGATGAAGCGTTTGTGATTGAATTATATCCAGAAAAACAGGAACAGATAGAATCGATATATATAAATGGCGACTTTAAGCCCGAGGAAGACGCTTACGAATTCACCGTCTTCTTCAGGACGACCACCACAGGCGGTGAAGGTTTCTCGCCGGACGTCAAGTGGACGATTCGTAAGTCTATCTCGCGACGACGATTTAGACATGTCAGGCGACTATTCCGGTCAAACTGATTACATAAACTACACCGTTTTAATGCCTCCGACGCCTGATAATCAGCCAGGAGGAGGAACGGGTTCAGATTCCAAATCGGACGGTACTGCTACGACTCGATTCGGATCTGAGGCTCGAGGATTGATCAGGCGAGTCGGAGATTCGGATCCGAATGGCGGAGGCGGCGATGGTGATGCCGCGAAGGATAGGAGAATGTCGGTGATGAAATCGTCGAACAATAAATCGATGCTGTTGCGAAGCCAAACGTCTGATTTCGATCACAACCGCTGGTTGTTCGAAACAAAAGGAAGATACGGAATTGCGAAGCCAAACGTCTGATTTCGATCACAACCGCTGGTTGTTCGAAACAAAAGGAAGATACGGAATCGGAAATGCGTACTGGCAGGATGGAGAACAGGATCAAGGCTATGTTTCGGAAGGGATGAGCATGGCGGATTTCATGGACAATCCATGGAGGCCGCTCACGAGGAAAGTTAAAGTCCCGCCAGCTATTCTGAGCCCCTACAGGTACCAAATCCTTACTATGCTTCATTTGTTACCCTAAAGATTAGAATCATGCCTTAATTTAGTTGATATCAATGGAATCCCGATGATAAAGAAATTGTGAACCTCGAAATATAGTCTAAAGTGACTCAAATGTCGATTAAAAGATGTATTTTATTCAAGGCTCAAGAAAGGGTCGAGTCTTGATTAAGGGGAGGCTCCGAGGACTTCATAGTTCTCAGGGGAGGCTCTATGATGTACTTTGTTTGAGGGGAGTATTATCGGGAGGGAGTCCCGACTAATTAATGGAAAGATCATGGGTTTACAAGGAATAGATCTCCATGAGTTGAGGTCATTCTTCATAAACCAAAATAGTAATAAGAGTTTATGCTCAAAATAAACAAAATCATAACAGGTCTAAAGTTAATTTATAGATAATTAAAATTTCATAATATTTATATATTATTAGTTGCAGTTTTATTTTTTATTTTTTCATTTTTATTTATAATGTACTAATTATTTGTTTGAAATTAGGCTCTTGGTGTTCATTCGAATGGTAGTATTGGCGTTCTTTCTTGCATGGCGAATCCGAAACCCAAACCCTGATGCAGTGTGGCTATGGGGAATGTCTATTGTTCTTTCTTGCATGGCGAATCCGAAACCCAAACCCTGATGCAGTGTGGCTATGGGGAATGTCTATTGTTTGTGAGGTGTGGTTTGCTTTCTCATGGCTTTTGGATATTCTTCCAAAGCTCAACCCTATAAACCGAGCCACCGACCTCGCTGCGCTTCGTGAAAAGTTCGATAAGCCGACTCCGACCAACCCGTCTGGGCGGTCCGACCTTCCCGGAGTCGACGTGTTTGTGTCCACCGCCGACCCAGAGAAGGAACCACCACTCGTCACGGCTAACACTATTCTCTCAATCCTGGCCGTTGATTACCCCGTGGAAAAGCTGTCGTGCTACATTTCGGACGATGGTGGCGCCATACTTTCGTTTGAAGCCATGGCGGAGGCTGTTAGGTTTGCGGAGGTTCTGTTTCCTAATTTGAAATGAATTGCATGCTATCGTTTTCTTTATTGGTCTTTATTTTGAACAAAGAAACCCTAGACTTGAGTGGGTTTAGAAATTATTTTAGAATATATAAAAATTAGTTTAAATCTAGTTAAGTTTTTAGATGTCTATTTAGGCCCGTATTGTCTTCCAATTTTAAAATGCCTCTTTAGAGAGAGGTTTTTAAATGTTCCGGCTGAGGTGGGATCTAACAATCCACTCCTTGGTACTAATGTGGACATTGCCTAGTGTCTAGCTTTGATACTATTGTTAGATTCTACATGGATTGAAGAGGGGAATAAAACATTGTGTTTACGAGGGTGTGAAAACCTATCCTAACAAACTGTGTTTTAAAATCATGGGGATGAAGGCAATACGTAACGACCGACAAACAATATCGACTAGTAGTGTGCTTGGACTATTATTATTATTTTTTTTTTTGGTTGAATTAAATGAGTAGTTTTAGGGATTTTGATGAGAAATGGGTGTGATTTTGATGAGAAACAGGTATGGGTACCGTTTTGCCGAAAGCACAACATAGAACCCAGAAATCCAGACAGTTACTTCAACATAAAAACGGATCCAACCAAGAACAAGAAGCGGCGGGATTTTGTGAAGGACCGCCGGTGGATAAAGAGAGAGTACGACGAGTTTAAGGTCAGAATCAACGGGCTACCGGAAGGCATTAAAAAGAGGAGTGATATGTACAACTCCAGGGAGGAGGCCAAGGAGAAAAAACTGGCTCGAGATAAGAACGGCGGCGAGACACCGGCCGAGCCGGTCAAGGTCACCAAGGCCACCTGGATGGCCGACGGCACCCACTGGCCTGGAACTTGGATTAATTCAACCGCCGACCACTCCAAGGGCGACCACGCTGGCATTTTGCAGGTTCTTAATTTTTATAATAATAACAAGTAATGAGTTTGAAATATAATAATTTATAAAGACTAAATAAATATTTTTGGAGTTTTCTAAATCAAAATCAAAGTAAAATTTAAAATTTATATTTACTTTTATCACAATTTTCATTTAAAATTTTATTTAAAAAATGTATATGTACTTATAAAATTTATTTATGTTTTGCTTGAAATTGCACAGGTAATGACAAAGGTACCAGAAAACGACCCAGTTATGGGAGGTCCGGATGAGAACAGATTGGACTTCACAGGAATTGACATAAGAATTCCAATGTTTGCATACGTGTCACGTGAGAAACGGCCTGGTTATGACCACAACAAGAAGGCTGGAGCCATGAATGCCATGGTTCGAGCCTCGGCAGTGCTATCAAATGGGCCTTTTATTCTCAATTTGGATTGTGACCATTATTTCTACAACTGTCAAGCTATAAGAGAGGGAATGTGCTTCATGATGGATCGAGGTGGCGACAGGATTTGTTACATTCAATTCCCTCAGAGATTTGAAGGCATCGATCCCTCTGATCGTTATGCCAACCACAACACTGTCTTCTTTGATGGTAATCCTTAATTCATTCTATGAAGAATTTTAAAACCCCAAACTCTTAAAAAGTGTTTTTGGAATGCTTTACTATCGATTATCCAAAAATTTAATTTCTAGTAGACACGTTCTAAAAACTTTGAGGTAAACCCTGAAAGAAAACTCAAAGAGGACAATATTCGTTAGTGATGGTTTTGGGCTGTTAGAAATAGTATAAGAGCTCCAGATGATGTGTCAACGAGGAGGTTGAGCCCCGAAGGAGGGTGAATACGAGGCGGTGTGCAAGCAAAGACGCTGAGCCCTGAAGGGAGTGGATTGAGAAATCCTACATCAATTGGAGAAGGGAACGACTGTCAGTGAGAACACTGAGTTTCGAAGGGGTTGGATTATAAGATCCTATGTCGGTTGGGGAGGAGAACGAAACATTCTTTATAAGGATGTGGAAACCTCTTCCTAGTAAACGCGTTTTAAGAACCTTAAAGTGAACTCGAAAAAAAAAAGGTTCAAAAACGAGTTGTGTTGCTCTTTTGAGTAATAGCTTCAACGTTTGCTTTGGTCTTTCTTACTAATTGGGCACTAAACAGGAAATATGAGGGCATTGGATGGTCTTCAAGGCCCAGTGTATGTGGGAACTGGTTGCATGTTCAGGCGATATGCACTGTACGGCTTCAACCCACCAAGAGCAAACGAGTACACAGGCATGTTTGGGCAAGTCAAATCCGCAGCCAGAACTAATTATCAACCTCAGTCTGAGGAAGATGATTCTGACGCTCACCCTTTGACGGATCACCCTGATTTGGACCTCCCTAAGAAGTTTGGAAGCTCTACCATATTTACAGACTCCATCCCTGTAGCTGAGTTCCAAGGCCGCCCTCTCGCCGATCACGTCTCTGTCAAGAACGGTCGACCCCCTGGTACCCTGCTCATGCCTCGTCCACCTCTTGATGCCCAAACTGTAGCTGAAGCAGTTGCTGTTATCTCATGTTGGTAAGACTGCAGTGCCATATTCTAATTAGTCACAAGTCACTTACTGGATTTCATAAGATTATATATATAGATATAGATATGAATGATAATGATCGAACAACTAGTTTTTTGGGAGTGCAGGTACGAGGACAAGACCGAATGGGGCGAAAGAATTGGGTGGATTTACGGGTCAGTGACAGAGGATGTGGTGACTGGTTACCGTATGCACAATCGAGGGTGGCGGTCAGTTTATTGTATCACCAAGCGCGATGCCTTTCGGGGCACTGCACCAATCAACCTCACAGATCGTCTTCACCAAGTGCTTCGATGGGCTACCGGCTCAGTCGAAATCTTCTTCTCTAAAAACAATGCTTTTCTAGGAAGCAAACGCCTGAAATTCCTTCAACGTGTAGCCTATCTAAACGTTGGCATTTATCCATTCACTTCCCTTTTCTTGGTCGTCTACTGCTTTCTCCCAGCACTTTCCCTCTTCTCAGGACACTTCATAGTACAAGGCTTAAACGTTGCATTTCTCAGCTATCTTCTCATCATCACTGTTTGCCTTTGCCTTCTATCCCTCCTTGAAGTCAAATGGTCAGGCATTGCCTTAGAAGAATGGTGGAGAAATGAACAATTTTGGGTCATTGGTGGAACCAGTGCCCATCTTGCTGCAGTTATTCAGGGACTTCTTAAAGTCGTAGCTGGGATCGAAATCTCCTTCACTCTTACGTCGAAATCAGCCGGAGACGACGAAGATGACATTTACGCCGATCTTTACCTCGTCAAATGGACAAGTCTCTTTATAATGCCACTTACAATTATAATTGTCAACATCATTGCAGTTGTAATTGGCTTCTCAAGGACTGTTTACAGTGTGATTCCTCAATGGAGCAAGCTGTTTGGTGGTCTGTTCTTTAGTTTTTGGGTGCTGGCTCATATGTACCCATTTGCCAAAGGGTTGATGGGCAGAAGAGGAAGGCTCCCAACCATTGTGTATGTCTGGTCAGGGCTGCTTTCAATCACTGTTTCTTTGCTATGGATTTCTGTCAGTCCACCTGACAGTGCTTCTGATGGAAGCAATTAGGTATGATCTTCTTTCATTCAATTTTAATCAATCGGGATGTCAAGAAGCTCATAACCATGGTTCGCCCCTTCTAATTTGTGAGGGTTTTTCCAGACCCAGGGGATTGAATCAAATCATAGTACAAAAAGCTATTAGGATTGTGTTTATTTGATTTGTTTGTGTGTTTGTTTGTTTCTCCTTTTAACATTCTTCCCACATTCTTCTAGTATTATCCAGTAATACTACAAGACAAGTGATGATCTATGTTTGCGACAAAGGTACAATTGTATTATGTACATTAGTGTACTGGCTTAGCTGGAGCTTTTGTATTCATAGATGTTTTGATCTATGATGTAATTTTTTTCAAAGATACATTTTAGATCCAGACATGAAAAATTATTACTCGAATGTGCTTGAGGGAACAAATACTAGAGTTCGAATTTAGGTTTGTACTCATGTTTTGTAATATTCGAAAGGATGTGTATCATTTTTTTGTCCGAATATCTAATGGCTCCAAAAACTATTCTCCTACGTTTAAATATCGATTTAGGACTTTTTTGGAATAACTATAAGTGCTTTAAAAAGAGTGTTTTTAAGCGCTTATTCCCAAAGAAATATGTCAAAAAGGAATAAAAGGATCAATTGAAGTTAACTATCATAGTAAAAGCAGAGGATATGTACCAATTCAAGGAATCTAAGCACTTAACTAGGAAACCTGCAGGATATAGTAATTGATATATAAAAGTAAACAATATGAACATTTATGCAAAAACTGATACCAGAAAATAGCCTCTTGACGTAGGATGAGCAAGTAATTCGTCATAGCAGAAACTCGCGAACCCGAACCGGTCTCTTTATTGCATTCGTAAAACCCTACACACGAAAAACACATGGCAGCAACAGTTGAAGATGGAATGAAAATTTCAAAAACTTCCATCCAAAGGAATATTTATAAAGTATATTTGCTTAAACAATGCTCTTAACTTGAAATGAAAGACCAAATTTCCAGATATCACTGGGAATATTATCATACTTGGGCAATAATTGTTACCTCGTTAAATTTAAATAGAAACGGACGTAGATCTCTCTCCAATGTAATTTCCTTCTTGTCGATGGAATCAGTGTTTTGGGAGCCTTTACCACCTGATTTTCGAAACCTAATTTCAAAAACTAAACAGGTTAAGATCATGATAGACAGCCAAGAACTTCTATGAAACATAAACTTAATACTACTACAAAATAAGTTAAAATATTATTTTGGTCCCCATACTTTAGAACGTGTTCTGTTTTAGTCCATGTATTTTCAAATGTCAAAAATCAGTATCTATGCTTTCAATAAATCTTAATTTAGTCCCTACTACTAGTTTATGGTGGACGTTTCCAAAAAAAAAAGTTAAGTCTCTATTAACCTTCCGTTCTTGTATGAAAACTATTATTATTTTATCAATTTCGACGAAAATTAACTTCAAGCTACAAACAATAGAAAAAGAATTAGATGAGATCAAAATCATATTCTAACCTCTAATATATATCATAAACCCCCATTACTACAAACAATTATAAGCGAATTTACTTGCATGAATTAGGAAAAGAAATTGGAAGTTAGAAAAGCATGAATTCAGTTTTCTTTGAAACATAACTTAGACGATTTGAAGAAGAAACAGAAGACATTAATATACCTATCAAAGAAACTTGAGGAACCCAAAGCGGATTTTTTCTGGGCTCCAGAGGACTTTGTACTAACACTTGGAGCAGAATTCCCATTGAAAGCTGAAGTTGGGTGACTTGGACGGTGCTGTGCCGTATAAGATTTTCGGTCGTCTACCTTGTTTTTAGCCGATAAGGCTGCAGGATCAGTTTTCATGAGTCCACCTCTTAAAGGTTTGTCCTCGGAACCTTCGTGGTTTACCTTCTTGGCCTCTGATATATGCTCCAATTTGCCATAGCTCCCTTGGAAAATTTTTTGATTCTCAACCTATGGATACAATAGGTAAGGCAATAGATCAGTTTCAAAAGGCTGATCAGTAGGGACAAAGTTTTATGATGAAAACTTATACAAGAATTTCAAAAAAGAATCTTGGACTTGAAAGAAACTATTAAAGAAAATGCTTTAGAGTTATATTTGCTGGTTAAAATAACTAAACAGTCCTAGTTTTGCAGGTTTTTCTTTTTTATAAGAAACCTTAAATGAAAAAAATACAAGGGGATTCAAAAATCAAGCACTAAAAAAAGGAGTCATTACTAGCTACAAAAGGGAATCCAAGCCAAAAGAACGAGGAAACAACGCGAGGCTACTAAATGAAACCTCGTTGGAAAGAAAGTAAAGACGAGGAAATAACATGCCTAAAAGCTTATCTCCCACCCAAAGGTCCTACCAAAAAGAAACTTTAGAACCATCCCCAATAGAGCATCAGACGAATATCTCCGGTAGTTAGTCTATTTCCATTAGTCGGCCGGTGGGAGTGAGAAGTTTGAGATAAGCTTCATTATCGAGATGGAAACAGTCCGGATCCACCAAGACAACCTGAGAAAAGGAAGGAAGCAAGAAGAGGGAACTTTCCAAAGATTTTTGTTAAGGCCTCAGGGCTACTCACTCGAGGTCCACTCAAGAGGGTGAGGGCCATATCTTCTAACCACTCTATACCTTAAGAGTGTCAGATTCTATCTAGAAACACCACAAACAATTCGCCAAAAGAGCCTCATTGGATATCCTCATGCTCCCTCTACCAAAGCCTCTAAGCTCAACAAGTTTTGTCGCCAACTCCAACTTAACCAAATGGGAACCACCCCCCTCCTCAACCCCCCTCCCACAAGAAGTTCCTCATCAAGCTCTCAAACCTCTTACTCGTTGAAACCGAGATCCTATAAACTGACAAGAAAAAACCTAGGAATCCCACTCAAGACTTCCTTAACAAGCGTAAGTCTCCCCCTTTAGAGACAAAAAATCCATTTCCAAGTAGACAAGAAAAAACCTAGGAATCTCACTAGGAATCCATTTCCAAGTAAATTGTCAATGTATGAAGGAAACGCTGCTGAAAAAATAAAGAAATATGTACATTAAAGTATAATATACTATTTTAAACAATATAATCAGGTGAGTAAATGTAAGGGAGAAAGTCAAAGATAATAAAATTTTCAGTGAACAATTCTGAATACGTCGAATAAATTATCTTACCTCATGAATCAACAATTGCTTCATGGGTAATGGAAGTACATTATGACAACTTTCATAGCCCTGAATGGTGGAAACAAAAAAAACTTAGACCAAGAGCCATAGAGTAACATTAAAACAAGCCACCAAGAGCATGACAACAACTCAAACCTTAAAACAAACAAAACCATCTATGGGTGGATCCAAAGCAAGAACTGAACCATCTAAAGTTGCTTCATGTCTGGTGTTATTGAGACGGGGATCGGATTTTATTTGCTTATACGAGATAGCATAAGACACCATGACGCTAACCAACTGAGTGAGGTTATCTTTCTCTTTTTCCGATAGCAGGTGCATGGCCATCTGTAAAAGTGAGTCACATGTTACCCGAAAGTAATAGCAATGAAGAAAAATATAAAGTACTATCAAAAGTTAAAAGATAGAATTGTTATGTACTTATTTTATTGATATGAAAAATATATAATAACATTATTTAAACAAAAAAAGATTAAAGTTATTGTTGTTTTCTAATTGTTTGCTCTCATGTGGAATTTGTAATTTTTAGCATTAGTCTCCTTCAATTACTTCACCGAAAAGTTTTGTCTATTGTTTCAAAAAGAATATTAAAGAAAGAAAAATTCAAAAAGGACATCCTAAGAGGAACAAATACAAGATCCCCAGTAAAGGCTACAAAAATCAGCACAAAAGGAAGAATGGAAAAGGTTCCAATTTGTCAGCAAAATCATTGAAATATTTTGTTGCATAAGAAATAGAATGCCAATGTTGAGAAAAAGGAAAAACAAACATTGTCAGCAATTACCGGTCGAAGAGTTCGGGGTGATATTATATGCAATAAAGGAGAAACCAAGTCTTCCACCAATGTCTTAGAGTTTATGTGCCTTGAAATAATTGGAGGAACTTTGCAAAGCCAAGACCTCAAATTGTCCGTCTTTTCCAATAACAGTGCCCGACATCTGAGAGCACATGAAGTTTAACCACCGTTACTTTGAAAGAACAAAGAATCTTACATTTGAATCATTATTAAGTAGACTCAAGGATACCTTTGGTTAGATTTTGGCCATTCAATATTCGGTCTTTGAACTTGGGCCACCAGCCGATGTACGGTAATTATACAAGAAGGTCGATAAACTATAAAGATTTAAAGTGAAAAAAGAAAAAGAAGTTAAAGACAAATAATTTAAACGGCTAAAATTTTGCGTTGCGTTAAATTTTTTTTTAAAAAAATCGATAGATGCTGAAAGTTTTTCACCATTAAGGTTCATATGATGTGTCTGCATAGCATACTGGCCCATAAGATCTGAAATTCCAAGCATTTCAAGGCATTTGACCTTAAATAACATTGCTTTTGTCAGAAATCATCTTGGTAGTTGCAGAAAAATAGGAAGAAAAGTTTTTTTTTTTTTTAAAAAAAAAAAAAACTAAATGTGAAGAACTTCTTAACTTACAGTCTTTTGCATCACTGGATCATGATAATTAAGTTGCAAAATATTTTCATGAATCCCATCCAAAATCAAATCATAGTCACCACTGCATATTCAGGGGCAAAAAGTTAGAACATGCTCTAAACATGGCATCAAAATAACAGGGTGAAAGAATTTCAATACTCACCGATATGATAAAAGCGAGTATAGATGTTCCATTTTATCACACACGTTCCTGAATTTACCGCCCGATCTACTCTGAAGCTTCATTTTTCTTGTATAAAAAATCTAAACAAGATAAATACTGTCAAGTACAGTACAGACAGTGAATGGAATTAAAGAGGCCACTGCCCAAAACAAAATATGGGATCATTTGATGGCCATTACCTCTTTCCAAACGTCAAAGACACTTTTAGACATATCCTTTTGTCCAACCACTTGAGAACCAATCTCCACCTAATATCATAAAGACATAAAAAGACAAACCATAAATTCATCCGGCCAGAGTTGAACCAATCTCCACCTAATATCATAAAGACATAAAAAGACAAACCATAAATTCATCCGGCCAGAGTTGAATTTTTTTGCTGAATATTGGGACCTTATTAAGCAGAGAAAAAATACAATAGAATTACTACTGCAAGACCAACAATCTAATCTTAATCTTCAACCTGGCCTAAAAATGAAAACTCGTCAAGTTGAAGCACCAAGACCAACAATCTAATCTTAATCTTCAACCTGGCCTAAAAATGAAAACTCGTCAAGTTGAAGCACTGAACTCAACCTCGTCTCAATTAAACAAAAGGAACAAGCCACGAGAATCATACTGAAGTCTAATTGGATAAATGGCTTTTTGATTTTGCTCAAGAATTGAAGATTACTTTAATCCTATATCGCTATGTAATGGTTATCATTTTTGCTGAAACATCTCTATGTAATGGTTAACATCCACAAGAACAATTTCTACCCCTATTCATAATTTCCAACTCAACCATGAAAAGACTGCAACTCAGGTTGAACCATCAGACTCAACCTTTAGCTCATAAAAATAACAACCCATAAGGGAGGATCATGAAGAAGTCTTACTGCATTAGGTTAAAAAAGAACAATCCATAGCAGAGAATAATCTTGTTGGATTAAGAGTTAAAAAGAACAATCCATAATGGAAGATGAAATATAAATATCTTACAGCGGAAAGGGTTTCTTTCTTCTTGTAGAGAAACTGAAGAGTGTTAAGGCAAGAGCGAATGTCACATTCTGTAAAATAACAAAGAACACGAAAGATGAATAAAATGGTTTGAAAACTGATTTTCTAAAAACAAAATGTATTTCACCTGTATACTGTGCAAGGGCAGATAACGCCGCAGAATTTGCTCTCATTCCCTCTTGGTTACATATGTACTTGAGTCTAAAATAACGAAGTTTAACAAATGAACAAAAAACTGCGCAACTATAATAAGAATGTCTCGATAATAAAGGCAAAGGAAATATCATAACAAGGGTGTGATGAGATTTCAAAAGATGAGATTTTTTACAGACAAGAATTTGTGTGAAGGGTTAAAAATTGATGGCATAAACAACACACTTATCAAACAGAAAAGAAATTACAAGATGAAATGATTTGCACTTATTAACAAGCATCACATGCACCACAGCTCGAAAACCAGTAACCACCATCTAATTAAACTATTATGAAAAATAAGGATGGAAAGCATTTGAAATTTTTAAACAATTAAATACTTGACATTGTTGTTAAATAAAAAATAAATTGGGAAGATTTACTCATGATAAAAAAAAAATTAAAACCAAGCCTGTTTAAATATTTTAAATCCAATATTATTATTAGAGAATCACATCTGGAAATATAGAATTAATAGGAAATTATTATACCTGCTGACTATTCGATTAACTGTTGGCTGAACAAATACATGAACCCTGAAATAAAGGAGTGGTTAATCCATACTGTTAAAATGCGTAGAGTAGGAAAGAGAAAGGGATAGATAAACAAATAAAGGTTGAAGAACATTATCAATGACTTAAAGGCTATGAATACTATGCCTCCTTTCTTTTTCTTTAATAGGAAAGTTTCAATAACCAGGACATAAAATCTTAAATGTACGTTGTAAGAATTTTGTAAGTGTCAATCTAGGCATAAATAACAACCTTTTTTATTATATAGGTAAGCAAAATAAATAAATAGATGGATTATAAATCTCAGTCTCACTAATCCAGGCATGAATGAACAGGAAAGTCCTAATTCTGTACATTTGAACGCTATATACAAAGACAAGGGACATCAAGATTGCAACTTTTAAATCCATCAAAGAAAAATCATTCCTGTACATATAAATATAATGCCATTTGTCCATTTGTGCATTCTCTCTCTCCAACAATCCGACAAATAAATTAGTACATTTCATGTTTAAGTTAGGTGACGATGACAAAGATAACAAAATCGTACCAGTATTATTTGTAAACACAGATGCCTTTTAAGGCTAAAAAATTACATTGAAGGACTTACTTTGCCATCAAACGTAATGATCTCAAGGCGGGTGCATATAGGTCGTTGCATATACATATTACCTGTACATTAACATTTAAGTATATGATTAAACAGAATTACATGTTAAGTGAGGGAAGAGGCAATAGAAAGAACAACTGTGTCTCACAGGTCTAGATAAAGAAGCGCCTCTTCGCCCTTTTTGGGAGGATCTCTTGCCTAACTGGTCTTTAGAACCATTTTCCTTCTCGGCTTTTTTATCAGCAGAGACCTGTATAAAAACACTTGTAGTGGTAATATATAAGAAGATTATTCATCCAAAGTGACTTGGAAAAATCAGTGCCTTTATATTGTGAGTACAAGCTCATTGCATGTTAAGGTTAATACACAAACTCTAAGTGCACAGTAAATAGGTTCCAGAAAAGAGACTCTTTATCAAGTATTTTAAGTTCAAAATTATTTTAGCAACTTATCTTTGATATCAAACAATACTGGAGAAAATAATTCATCTTCATACAACTTAAGGTATAAGTTTATATAAAAGAGTGATAGAAAATTGAAAAGGAAACTTATGACCAATCTCCTAGAAGCTAATTAACTACAAAAAGAAATATAGTACAGATTCAATAATGCTAGTAATGATAATAGTATAAAATTACAATAAAAAGGTAAGGAAGATCAAGCCCAAGCCAAGGAGGTTACCAAAGTCTCTTCGAAATGGTATAAAGAGAATTTAAATTAAAATGGGCATAAAATTGACACAAAGAAAGAGCTACAAAGTGACATAGTCCACAAGCACCCAAGGGATCTTTCTTTGCCAATTGAAGACTTATTTGTTTTTCTCATGCCACAAAAGCCAATCGGAAGTTCTCGGCATCTTAAAATAGCCATAAGATCCTCATCTCTCTTTTAAAAGGGTGGCCATCAAGGAGTGAGGAGAGAAGATTGTTAACTTGTTGATGTTGATGCCAGAGCCGCCTGGGGAAATGGAGCAGGTGTTGAAAAGATTACAAACTCCCATTTATACAAAGAGCACCCTCCTAGGGAAATGAAACAAACAGGAAGCTTCTTTTGGATAAGGTCATGACCATGAGCAGTCACTCCTTTGATAATTTGATGGATTTGATTTTTGCTAATGCTCTTTATTGGTGTAAATGTAGGTGCCCTTTTACCAATTCTAGGCTTTCCCCTCTTCTTTTAAATTGGAGAACTTTCTTGTAATACACCTATTGGTGGTGGGAGTCCTAATAACACTTTTTTTCATTTCATTCATCAATGAAATTTTGTTTCTCTTTCAAAAAAAAATACAGTAATACGTCCATCGAGAAGTTTGTAAAAGAAGGAGAGGATTTGACTTTTAATACTTGCATGCCAAATAAAGTTGAAGAGAGAGGATTTAACTTATCTTCCCTTGTTGACTACGTTCATAAAAGGAGAACAAGTAAAAGACCCTGTTTTAGTAGCCCAATTACCATTATTTATGATAGAGAGGTTCATTCTTGAATTTCACTATCCATTAGTTTTCTTCTAAGACCAAGGACCAAAGTTTGAGAGCAAGACTTCCCGTAGTCCTTTCAGAGTAGATTGGAGAAAAGATTTGCCAAGGACCAAAGTTTGAGAGCAAGACTTCCCGTAGTCCTTTCAGAGTAGATTGGAGAAAAGATTTGGAAAAGCTATGGAGAGGGTTTCACCAAACCATAGATCGTCCCATGCATTAGCTCCATTTCCAACCACAAACCTAAGTCTTCTTAAAGAGAGGCCTTGGATCAGGGAGAGAGAAGTAGCCTAGCCAAAAATCATGTTGAGTGTATCTGTTTATGCCACTAACACCTCCCTCCATAACAATACAAGAAAAAAAAACCTTAAGCAAGATACTCATTAGTTAGAATTTTTTTAAAAAAATATATACAGAAAAAGGAAGAAAAGAGAAAGGGAAGACAAAACATACAACTAAAACTGATTTTTTTTTTTTTTTAAAAAAACAATCTCAAGGAAATAATACGAAAATATATTTACCATCTTTATAATGACATCCACTGCACCCTTGCCATCACCAAGTGCTCCATCAATTTCATCAATTACCTGCGTCATTTGAATTGATTACTGCACCCTTGCCATCACCAAGTGCTCCATCAATTTCATCAATTACCTGCGTCATTTGAATTGATTGTTAGAAACTTCAAATAGAACAATACTAAACATTATCCTTTTTCTGCTTCAACTTCACTAAAACTAACCAGACAATTTGGCCTTGCATCACCTAGGACTGAGTTCATCTGAATGGCATCAAGAATCTTGGATTCAATTGTTGATGATGTCCGATCATCACTAGCATTGATCTGCATAAAAAGTTCGAACGTAGTTAAAACTAGCAAAAGTATCAGAGCAAAACAAGACAAAGTAATAGATATCGTATACCCAAATACATGTATGAGATCATATAAAAAATACAAATAAGATAAGATAATCCGTGAACATTTCATCCAAGACTGAAAAAAATTAAAATGAGAAAACATGTGTGCTGATTCCTGTCTCTTTATGACGATAAAGTGATATACAAATGACATTAAGTTTTAAATACTAACATATATATTAACAAGTTAACCCTTCGGCATTAACTAACTAGAAGATGTTGCCTTTGCATGTCAGAGATCGGAAAATAATGGTTTTGAGGCTAATCAAATATTTGCAAACAAGAAGCAAAAGTATATGCCGACTCATGAAAGAAACTTATTTGCCTTTTTCTGATGAAAAACAACAACAAACCTCCACCACATGATAGCCACAGTGTTTGGCAGCTACATGAGCAAGTGTAGTTTTTCCAAGTCCTGGGGGCCCACAGAGTAAGAGGATCTGCAGTAGTAACAATATTATTTTCTCTCAATTCACAATAAAATTGCAATATGAACCATCCCTTAAAACGTGTGAGGTAGGGATGAACCAATAATAACAATGGCTTTCAAAATCCTTAGCTTGTACAAGAAGATAAAAAAATTACAATGGATGAGATTTTAAAACATACAACGAAACTGGAGGTGTAAACTACACAAATTAAATAATTATAGATTTATTATATAAGCTATGAGTTTCTGTTTCCTTGCTCAGACATGAAGAGTCTCCTGAGCATCTAATTAGAGAAGAATTGGAGGTAGGGAGAGAAGCAGCGCTAAATGGAGAACGGAGAGAGAAACTTCAAAATAAATTGAAAAATATAGTTGACCTTCCTTGTTACTTTCTATTTAAGCAATTGGAAAGGGGGGAAATTGAACTACAGTTGTCGGGCTTCTAGGATATCATCAAATAGTAGCTTCAAATCATAGCACAAATCAAGATATTGATGATTTTTGGTTAAAAAAATCCAACCTTCAAAATTTCAAACCAAAACAAAGGGTCTAATTCAGCAACGTATCAATCATCAATTTTATTTACAATGCATACCTTCTGTTCTGGTGGACTTGGAAGCCTCGTCTTCTTGCCCAATGTGTCCTGACTGCCATTTGCAATACTATTTTGTTGATCCAAGAAAGTAGAATCTTGAAAATTACCAGACCTCCGTCCTTGAAATTTATTCTTCCTAGTAAAACTTGAGCCAGAGAGCCTATGATGCTGAGCAATGGCAGTGTGCCGCCTTAAAGAAGATAAAACTTCCTCTGATGTAGTCCTAATTTCAGATCCAAAAACACAGGAATCCCATTGTTTTAGCCATAGAAGAACCTGCATACAAGATCAATAGATAAAGTTATGATTTGAAATAAGAGAAAAGAACTGCTAAAAAGATCTAAACTTCAAATAGTTTTCTGCAATACAGAAACAAGAATTCAAATGTTCAAAGACATACTAAATTATAATACGTGCCTCGCGATTTGTTTGTTCATCACTAAGAAGCTCTGTAAAGGAACTAGGAGCATATTTATCCACCCAAAGTCTCTCTTGCACCACTGGTCCTTGAGGGGGACATGGATCAAGCTGAATATCATAACTAGCCTCCAAGGTCTATAATACAAAGATTGACTTGTCAGACAATGGTTAGGATAAACTAGAGAAAATATGGTCACAAAAATGGAAGAAAGTATAATGGTCACTGGTGTAACAGTACTGTAAGCTCAAATTTACCCTTAGACTACCTTCCACACAATTTATACAAGCCAAATTAATCGAACAAAGTGACGTGATGCACATAAGTACAACGTCTAAGACTTCATCTACCTTTTCACAATTCAAAATTACAGAGAGTAGAAAATCTTAACTGATGCAAAGAAACAATAAACCCATTTCACTATTAAATTCTTATGAGCAACTTAATTCAATCTTAACTGATGCAAAGAAACAATAAACCCATTTCACTATTAAATTCTTATGAGCAACTTAATTCAACTTACGAACTCTCATACAGTCAACTGGACAATATTTTCACTGAATGGCAACGCGGGGCTACTAAAACTACATAGAAAAACAAGTAATGATGGTTAATTTTGATATCTTGAGCGAGCACTAAATCTTTATGAGTTTGCATACCTTGGCCAAAGCCTCCTTCTCCGCTCTTTCCATTAAGACATTGATATTTTCTGGCATTATACCTGGAAAGCAGACATGGATAAATGATTTTAGGACCAAAAACTATGAGGGGGAAGAGATTCTACGTATGGTTATTCAATTGAGTGTCCTTGGTCTTGCTTCCGCCCCAATGATGAATAAATTAGCCATTTCAAGCTCGATTGTGACCAAATTACTCAAAATTACCAATAAAAAGCTAAAAAAGAGTACCTTCGTGACGCTCTTTCAAGTCCAATTTCTTGGACTCTTCCTTGTCCCCAAATCGGCCTAACTTTGCATAAACCCTCTCGTCACTATCTGGTGCCGTTATCGGCATAAAATCGCCATCGATCTCCGTTACGTACCTGAAAACCGTTTTTTCCTCCACTACCAAACTCGTTTCTTCTTCCACCGTAGAATTCTTCTCCCTGGGCGGGGAATATCGAAGCCAAGCCTCCTCGGTCTCCACCACTGAATTCTCAGTCCTGCTTTTCTTCCCTCCTGAAGGCTCCGCATCATCCGAAACCAACTCCATCGGCGCATCGGCATCGTCCGATCTCAGTCGCTTAAGCCCATTCACTGAAGAAGAATCAGTGACCGAATTCGACGCAATACTGGATAATCTGGGCGAGTTCGATTGCGGAATCGGACTGTCCGATGGCTCTTTCTCCGGTATTTCTTCTTCATCGTCGATTTCGGGCGGTTCAGGTTCCATGTAATCTTCATATAGATGAAAATCTTCTTCGAGAAGCTCGAGCTCGTCCGGAAAAGGAATATCCATATCCATATCCATTTAACCGTCTTCGGCACACAGTGGTCGATCGTCTACCGGCGACTGGCAAATGAGCTCACTTCTTCGACGCCGGCGCGAGATTGAGTGGAAAAATAGATTCTACATAGATTTATGGCGGGAACCGCTTCAAACGGGCGAAAATACCCGTGTTATGCGGTCGGGTCAGATATGGATTGTGCCCCATATTTTTCGGTGACCATTTAGGGCTAATTTAAGTCATGAATATTATTTTATTTAATTATATATTTTTTCTTAAATGTAAGGGGATTTTTATTATTATTATTATTATTATTTTTAAGGTTTGAATCTTAAGTTGCCTTTATGAATATGAATATTTAATAATTACCAATTAAATGTCTAAAAAATTATAATTTTAAATTCATTTAACCAAAACAATTTTAGTGAATTAAATAATAAGTGGATGGCTCGTGTTCATGAACTTAACCATGTTTAGATAAATGCTATGCATCAGACTCTATCGGTGAAAAAAAAGTAAAGTCCAATGAATAGTTATGATATATTGTAACAGCCCAAGCCTACTTCTAGTAAATATTATCCATTTTGGTTTATTACATATCGTCGTCAGCATTGCAATTTCAAAACGTGTCTAATAATAAGAGGTTTATACATCCTTATAACCAATGTTTCATTCTCCTTTCCAACCAACATGTAATCTCACAAACCATCTCCCCTTGGGAGCCAGCATTTTTGCTGGCACATCGCCTAGTGTCTAGCTTCGATATAATTTGTAACAGCTCAAGCTCATCGTTAGCAAGTATTGTTCGCTTTGACCCATTACATATCGTCGTTAGTCTCATAATTTTAAAACGCGTCTGCCATGAAGAGATATCCAATAGATTATGAGATCCTATGAACCAAACATTTCTTACAAGGCTACGGAAACTTCTCCCCAATAAATGTATTTTAAAACTGTGAAGCTAACGGTGGTAGATAAATCAGACAATATCTACTGGCAATAGGCTTTGACTATTACATACATATTGTTACAATGAACAGGAGAATAACATAATAATATTTTTCGTTAGAGAGTTTGTTACAATGTCGTTAAACCTTATTTCAACCACGATTTTTGTATGATTTTAAAGTTTATGAGTATTTTAAACAAATTTTCGTACATTTTTCTTGGGGTCGAAGGCAGGTTCATGATATTCTTATTTAGTTATGAAAGGATACAGTTCTTGGACCTTTAAATTTTTAATTTGATATAATTAAATTATTTATAATTTGAATGTTCTTGGAAGGTTTAAAAAAAATGAATAGAACAAAGAAGAATCGAATTTCAAAATGAACCGCGGGAGAGTTTATTTTAGGATTTGTTAATAATTTATATATAGTTTCCATACGGTCCCAAACCAACCAACGTTCGTAATGATTCCTTACAGTTGCTAACTACATTTAAAGGTCGATGTGAATTTTGGGGAGCCTCCCGTTTCTCCTCCAATACTTCGAACCCCAAATTTTCCGTCTCGTCGATGTGAATTTTGGGGAGCCTCCCGTTTCTCCTCCAATACTTCGAACCCCAAATTTTCCGTCTCGCTCTATATACGCGCGTACTCGAACAAAAAATTTCGAAATAACAATTATTGGTAAGGAGTTTTCAGCCTCATTCGATCTGGTTTGATCTTCTCCATTGATCTGAAGCAATTTCTCTCCGTGTCTGTATTGTTTTTGTTTTTTGTTTTTTGTTTTTTAACGATTTTTTTGGTGGCATTGTATTAATATTATTGGAATCTTGATCCGTGTTGTTGTTGAGTCAGGTTTCTTTCGAAGATGGTGCAACAGACGTTGATCTACAGTTTTGTGGCTCGAGGAACGGTGATCATCGCCGAGTATACGGGTTTCAGCGGAAATTTCACTAGCATCGCCTCTCAATGCCTCCAGAAGCTCCCTGCTTCGAACAATAAGTTCACCTACAATTGTGATGGCCACACCTTCAATTATCTCGTCGAGAATGGATTCAGTACGTAATAAGTTCACCTACAATTGTGATGGCCACACCTTCAATTATCTCGTCGAGAATGGATTCAGTACGTTTCGTTTTATCGAATTTATGTTGCATTTTTTTTCTGATCCTGATCTCGTCATGATTCATTCGTTATTTTTGTTGAGCTTTCCCATGCGAGATCCATTTTTGGTTTTACAATGTCGTTGTTACAGATCCGTCCATTTTTATCTTCCGAAGGTTTGTTCATTGGTGCGTTGGTTTATTATAGCTCATGATATCTCTTGAATCGCATTAGGTTTCGACATTTTGCTTCTCTTGGATTCGTGGACGTTTTCGTTTAGTTCAACTAGAATTTGAGTTTGTTTATAAACATTAATAGGCAGCTATAAACCTACCAAACGATTTGAGATTTTTTATAAAAAAAATTGAATTCGTGTTTTTGGTTACCTTGAGAGAGAAAGGAGCACAAGATCAATGTGGAAGCAGTAATATCATGCAACATGCGACCGGAGGCAATGCATTGTTTAGAATCCAGGTTGATCTAACCTGAAAAAAAATACTGAATCGGAAATGGAGGTATCAGCTACCAACACGAAGAGCCTGGCATTGCTTTATTCGTTGAATTATCTGAATTCCTTCCATTTTCCTTTTCTGAATTTGCTTGAATATTTAGCTATTGTTGAGGGTAGTAGCCTGGTAGTTATTTATTTCGTGGATGCATAATCTCCTTTACAGCCAATCATCAAGTTCTCTCGTGATTCAATTTTCATCCAACTTTCTGTTCCATTTTTCTTGGCACATCATCATTTGTTTTTCGTAATTGTGTTCTTAACATATCATATTGTAATAGTTTGTGCGAGAATGTGATTTAACTAACCCAATTCAAACGTGAACCTGCAGCTTACTGTGTGGTTGCTATCGAAGCTGCTGGTAGACAAATTCCTATTGCTTTTCTTGAGCGAGTCAAGGAAGATTTCAACAAGAGATATGGTGGAGGAAAAGCTTCAACTGCTGCTGCTAAGAGTCTGAACAAAGAATTTGGGTACTATTTCCAATGCCCTGTTATTAAATATATATCTAGAAATATTTTTTTCTACTAGAGAAATAGTTGGCTAGGAATAACGAACTTCCACGACGGTAAGATAGTATTCACTTAAAACATAAGCTCTTATGGCCTTGTTTTGGACTTTCCCTAAAGGCCCAATACCAATGGGAAATGTATTCCTTACTTATAAACCCATGAACATTTCCTAGATTAGCATGGGATTCGCTCCCAACAATCCTCAACAATCCTCCCCTCGAATAAAGTATATCATAGAACCTCCTCTGAGGTCTATGTAGTCCTCGAACATAGTTAACATAGACAATAAGATACATAAGATAATGCAACGAACAAAAGCAAAAAAAAAAGTAAAATTAAAAAATCTAGAGTCTTGCATTCTTAATAGTACCAGGAATTGAAGTTGCATTTTTCCCACGGCTTTCAGATAGCATTGGTAACTGATGTGTTCTTGTTTGTTGGTACAACCTTCAAAACTCATTTATAAACTAATTTCCATAGGTCGAAATTGAAGGAGCATATGCAATATTGTGTGGATCATCCTGAAGAGATCAGCAAGCTTGCTAAAGTTAAGGCTCAGGTTTCTGAAGTCAAGGGTGTTATGATGGAAAACATTGAGAAGGTAAAAAGGAGAAATAATGTTTTGACGAGTTTGTTACCAGCATAGTTTCAATCCTGCCAATCAAAACTCTCATAATTTCTTACTTCTGGATGATAGTTTGTGGAACTAATTTGTTTTTTTTTTTTTTTTTAATGATTTACTTCTGGATGATATTTTAATCTTGAAAGAACTATTTTTCTATCTGTTTGGCAGGTTCTTGACCGTGGTGAGAAAATTGAGCTGTTAGTGGATAAAACTGAGAATCTCCGCTCACAGGTTGGTTTAAAAAATTTTCTTTTTTGAAGTCCATAATGTAAATTCGTACCGCTTGATCATATTATTAATTAGTCTCCATCTCTCCCGGGCAGTGGCATTCCGGTAAATACCGTTGCCATGTTTAGGGGCAACCTCAGAGTTCATGTCCATTGCATTTGTTCATCTGTCATCTTCAAATGCATTGTTTTGAGTATCCATTAAGAAAAGTAACTGATTTGGGAGTAATATTAGGTTAAAATCACTTTTAGTTGCATTTAAAATCATTTCAAAATATGCTTTTAATAGTTCAAAAGGTAGGATCGTTTCTTGTCTGATCGTGAGCTTCATAGAAATGATCCTTTTAAGAGCTCCATAGAAATGATCCTTTTAATATTGCAAAATACAATCTCAACGTAAGTCGCAACCAACTCGATGCACTTTATTAGATTCTTAACAAGCTGGAAATATTCAAGATCAATAGAAAGTGCTTTCTTTGTGGTCTTTCTATTTGATTCTATATCGATTTTTGTTGATAATATATATCTAAGGTATACTTGGGCGTTTAAAAGTGTTTTTGGAATAATTTTAAATATCGCTGTCGGAATACTTGTTTTTCCATACCTGAATGAAATGTTTGCTTGACATGAATTCAATGGTTGTTTCGATTTCAGGCACAGGATTTCAGGACACAAGGAACTAAGATGAAAAGAAAGATGTGGTACCAAAACATGAAGATGAAATTGATCGTGTTCGGAATTGTGTTGGCCTTAATTCTCATAATTATATTGTCCATCTGTCACGGTTTCAACTGTTGAGTTCCCATCATCTCAACACTGTAAACTGTGCGTCGATGCATAATTGGACGATGTCGGTGGTAGAGGTTAGATTCACGCACCCAACTTTGCAGATCTTTGAATTTGGCGTCTTCAATTCCTTCTTCTACGTTGGTTGGTTGTAACCCCCAATTCCCTTCCCTCTTCTGCTACAATATAATAATAATCATACCCTTTTAAGATGTGGGGAGGAGGCTCTGTAATTTGGACTGCTGTATATCTATATATACATATATATATATATATATATCTATATATATCTATATATGCAATATGCCTTCAATCTTTCAGGTAGATCTCTATGTGGTCCATTGTTGTGGGTCCCTCTGAAATGTAATAGAGACACATACTTGAAACTCCTTTCAAGTGTTCTTTCCT